AAGAACAATAAGGATATGGAATTCTCTGCCTGAAGAGGTGGTTTTGTCAGAGTCCATACAGATATTTAAAAAGAAATTGGATAAATACTTACAAAAACATAACATACAGGGATATAATTTCTAATTAGTGGGGTAATAGCTGCTTGATCCAAGGAGACATCTGACTGCTATTTTGGGATCAAGAAGGAATTTTTTCCTAGTTTGTGGCAAAATTGGAAGTGCTTCAGACCAGGTTTTTTGCCTTCTTTTGGATCAACAGCAACAACATTTGTGAGGAAGGCTGAACTTGATGGACGCAAGTCTCTTTTCAGCTATGTAACTATGTAACTATGAGTATAGTATTTTCAATATAAACAGAGATTTAGAAATAAGAGCTACTGAAAAAATGGATAAATTTAAGATATCAAAAAGTGTATAGGGGTTAACTGTTTCTTTAAGAGAATACCCCTGGGAATTTATTCGAAATTAAATGTGACAATGGGTGGCGAATAGTGCTACTTAGATTTAAGGAAAACATAGAGAGAACCGTGAACATATATTATTTAAAGAAGAAATTGAGGAACATACTTAAATTGTAAAATTAAAATGCTTAAAACTTCATGCATTCGGCTAACGAACGTGCAAGAGGAATATAACAGGACCGCATGTGATAGATTATGAAAAACGAAAAGCTTGTAACAAAGCCATTCATACGTGTTTCGGCTAAACGAACGTACGTGAGAAACAGGCGAACATAAGGTGAGTATAAGCGGTCGGTAATTTATTTTAGCGAACGAACAACGAAAGCGTGTGTACTCTGCGGTCGGCTAAAAGCCGCACGAACGCAGAAGTACACGAACAGCAGAATTACACGAACAGCAGAATTACACGAACGCGTAAGTAATATAGGGAGCCTATTCCTGCGTTTTTAGGCCCGAATGTGGGATATAGCCAAACGCTATTTCCCACGTTAATGCTTACGTGTGCCTGCCGGTCTCATGATCGGAAGCCAGATAGCCGGGTAACGAGTAAGGAATACAGTGGGGCAGCTGGTGGACAATCCCGGAGGTTGATGGCAGGAGCTGCTGAAGACAGACTGTTCGAGGCAGGACTGGCGGGAACAATGAACCAGAAGTGCAGGTAACTATGGAGACAAGACAGCTTGAACGGCAAAGGTAAGTAGGGGGGTAGGGTTTATATAGGGTCATAACTCCACCCACAAATTCAGGCCAAATGGCCTTCCAACATATATATATATATATATATATACTTAGGCAATTTGGACTTGAAACTGCCAGAGCAGCCAGGGCCTTTCAGGACCACCGGTTGGCTGTCAACTGTTATGGTTGTCATGCCCTGATGGCGGCCCTGTTTGTAGATAATGCATTTTAAAATGCCCTTAGTATGTAGCATAGGCATAATTAGGTTAATTGGCACCCCGAATTACAACTTTTATGTTATGCTCTGCATCCTCTAATGTAATTGTGCATATGAAGTGACCCTTGTGTGTTCCTCCCTTTCCACCTTGTGTGTCTTAAACCATTTTACTTCTTGCATATCTCTTACCCTTTAAATTCTTGTGTGTCTCTTAACCCACCTTACAGGGACACTCAGCTGCCCAATTTTTTTTATTTTATTGTTTTAAATCACTGTTTAGTAAATATACCCTAAAGGAAAACTTGCATGCATTTAATTATGAATTTTATTCGGTGTATATCTACAAACAGTTTGCAAAAGCTGCATATCTCTTGTCTGATGCTTTGAAAGCTCTTCCTTTCTAACTCTGCTTAGATTTTCTGTGGCTGTCCAATCACAGACTTCCCAATGCAGCTCATTGAGAAGTCTTACCAACGCAGGTGCTCTGGGTAATTGTCTGTCTCTTGAGTTTAGCTCCACTGAGCTAAAAAAAAACAGGAAGTAACATTATATATGTAACGGACCGTTTTGCACACAAGGGGTAAAAACCGTTTAGGCGATCGGCCCCCTTTCCAGAGATACAGGCACAGCTACTGCAGAACATCAAACTCCCAAACTGGATACAAAATAGCACTCCAACTCCCGAACTGGAACCTCCCAAATAGCTGCTAGCAGACGAACAGGAAAAGCTCCCAAGCAGCTTACACTCCTGGCAATCAGTCTCTAACAGCATACAGTGAATCCCCCCAAGAACGAGACAAGGCTCTGTGTTGAGGATCAAGCAGTGGTCTGAGGTGCTGGCACACCCAGCCTGGTTTTTATTACAGTGTTTCAAATACAGGACCACCCACAGGGAGGGATAAAACAACCAATCATATCACAGTTACATCCCACATATTCCCTCCCCTTATCCTGAGAGGAAACTCAATTATACATACAGTTAAAACATACTTTCTACCCAACTTTCATAACTCTAAAACCATACATCACATTCACATAAAATTACATATGCACAATCAATCCATTCAGGGGAACAACATATTCAAAAATGGCACAAATCAGACAAGGGGTTCAAAAGTTAGTAAAAAGTCCTTTGTGACTAAATGAAGCATGGCTTTCTGGCCCAAACCAGTTTCAGAGTCTTCTATCCTGGAGATAAGTAATTCAATTATCTCCCAGGATAGACACAAGACTCCATTAAGCACATGGTTGCAAAGAGACACAAAACACTTTAAAATACATAAAGTCACATTTATTACATAAAACACAGACATGTAACATATCCCCAGATAGCTCAGGTCCGAGCGCACATTATTAAGTGAATGGCGCTCAGACCACACGAATACAGTTTAATCGCCATGGAGCTAAAGTCTTTACAGTCAGTTTCATACGAATGGGCTCCATGGGATTCCTATCTGGGGTGTAACACATTCAAACAAATCTACCGAACCCCAGGCAGAAAAGCACGAATGAAGCTTTTCTGCAGGCAAAAATAAAGTCTTTTAAAAGGGGGCCATAGTCCAAAGGCAGCAGGCGAGCAACCAGGCTTCTCCAATGCAATGTGGCGAGATTGGTCTCGTCACATCTCTCCCCTTTTCCAAACAGACTAACAGGGTATCTGACCTCCTGCCGGTCAGTGCCCTTGTTAGTCCAGCAGCCCACCCACAACAAATAATCAACAGCACAGCCCACCCACAATAAATGGTTACTACACCTGGGTAAAAGGGAAGCTTGTCCATGTCCAGGTGCCTCACCACGGCTGTGCTGGGTACGGGTACGCTGACTTGGTGGGTTGCTGCGTGGGCAGAGACCAGCGGCACTCTGCCCTGTTGCCAGCGCTACTGGGAGGGTAGCCTGGTGGAAGCCTGGTTGTTGGAGGGGGAGACCGACTGTCTCCCCTTTAAATACACCGCTCTGCTGCTGCTGCTGGAGACTGACTGTCTCCCCTTTAGATGCACAGTCCTGCTGCTGGAGACCGACCGTCTCCCCTTTGGTTACCCATCTCTGCTGCTGGAGGGGGAGACCGACTGTCTCCCCTTTGGCTAAACAGCCCTGTCGCTGGGGGGCAGGACCGACCGTCCCTACCCCCTGTGCTGGCAGTGTAGAGACTACGGTCCCATCTGCACGGTTGTGGGGCTTACTGTCTCCCCTTTGTACATTAAGCTGCCGCTGGGGAGAGGGGGTAACAAGCATACATACTTCCAGCTGTGGGGGAGGGAGACCGACTGTCTCTGCTCCCAATACAGAGTCCTGCTGCTGGGGAAAGGAGACTGGGCTATCTATTCCCGGTAGGACACTCTGCCGCTGGGGAATGGAGACTGGGCTCCCAATTCCCAAAGCATCATACTGCCGCTGGGGAATGGAGACTGGGCTCCCAATTCCCAAAGCATCATACTGCCGCTGGGGAATGGAGACTGGGCTCCCAATTCCCAAAGCATCATTCTGCCGCTGGGGAATGGAGACTGGGCTCCCAATTCCCAAAAAATCACGCTGCCGCTGGGGAGGGAGGACACTGCTCTCCTCTCCCTGGACTTCCCACTGCCTTCCCGGCATATCACTTGGCTGCTGGGGGGCAGGAACAACTACCTCTGCCCCCTGTAACTCAGCCTGCCGCTGGGGAATGGAGCTCAGGCTCCCAATTCCCTGCAATATCTCCCGCTGGGGAATGGAGCTCGGGCTCCCAATTCCCTGCAATTTCTCCCGCTGGGGAATGGAGCTCGGGCTCCCAATTCCCTGCAATTCATTCTGCTGCTGGGGGACAGGAGCGACTATCTCTGTCCCCTGTAACTCAGCCTGCCGCTGGGGAATGGAGCTCAGGCTCCCAATTCCCTGCAATATCTCCCGCTGGGGAATGGAGCTCAGGCTCCCAATTCCCTGCAATATCTCCCGCTGGGGAATGGAGACTGGGCTCCCAATTCCCAATAAATCACACGGCCGCTGGGGAATGGAGACTGGGCTCCCAATTCCCTGCAGGACCGGTGGAGAGACCTCGGTCCCATCTCTACCGGCCACCTGGGGTTCTTCCCAGAAAATATCCACAATGTCTTCCCAGCTGAATGGGTCTGGTTCTGGCTCTGTCACCTTGCTGTCCTGCTGAATCTTCTCAATGGAGTGGAAGAGATCTCGGTAGTCCTGCTCCAGTTCCCACTCCAGGGTTGCTAGGTGAGCCAGGTCTTGCTCAATGTCGTGAGTGTCGTCCCAGTCATACCTGCTCTCCCTCCACTCCAAGAGATCACTGAACCGGGCTTGTGTAGGGCTCCCAAATTCAGGCTCTGAAAAAGCCTCCCATAACAAGCCAGGACCATCAAACTCCTCTCCCTCTGGCTTGTCATGCTCGGCTGTCCAGGGCAGGTACTGTGCCCCATACCACCAAAGCGCCTGGTATGCATCTTCCAGCCAAATCTCCTGCCATACCCGGTGCTCCAATTCCTTCACCCATTCATCTAGGGGCTGCTCTCCCAGGAAGGGCATCCGCAGGGCCACTTGCTTCTGCAACCGCTGCTCTTCACTGGGGAGACTCTCACCCCGCTGGTACTGTACATTATCCAGGGCCTGGTACCAGATGCCTTTCCTTAATGCATCCCGGCCATCCAGGTCCTCCTCCTCGTATGACACTGCTGGTTCCATGCTGTTGCTGTCAGGGTCGCTGTACTCAGACATGCGTTGCCCTCAAATTGTAAATCCAAGGAATGGTGTCGCCTGTAGCTGTCCTGTAGTCTGTGGGAACGATCCCGCCGCTTGCCACCAATTGTAACGGACCGTTTTGCACACAAGGGGTAAAAACCGTTTAGGCGATCGGCCCCCTTTCCAGAGATACAGGCACAGCTACTGCAGAACATCAAACTCCCAAACTGGATACAAAATAGCACTCCAACTCCCGAACTGGAACCTCCCAAATAGCTGCTAGCAGACGAACAGGAAAAGCTCCCAAGCAGCTTACACTCCTGGCAATCAGTCTCTAACAGCATACAGTGAATCCCCCCAAGAACGAGACAAGGCTCTGTGTTGAGGATCAAGCAGTGGTCTGAGGTGCTGGCACACCCAGCCTGGTTTTTATTACAGTGTTTCAAATACAGGACCACCCACAGGGAGGGATAAAACAACCAATCATATCACAGTTACATCCCACATATTCCCTCCCCTTATCCTGAGAGGAAACTCAATTATACAAACAGTTAAAACATACTTTCTACCCAACTTTCATAACTCTAAAACCATACATCACATTCACATAAAATTACATATGCACAATCAATCCATTCAGGGGAACAACATATTCAAAAATGGCACAAATCAGACAAGGGGTTCAAAAGTTAGTAAAAAGTCCTTTGTGACTAAATGAAGCATGGCTTTCTGGCCCAAACCAGTTTCAGAGTCTTCTATCCTGGAGATAAGTAATTCAATTATCTCCCAGGACAGACACAAGACTCCATTAAGCACATGGTTGCAAAGAGACACAAAACACTTTAAAATACATAAAGTCACATTTATTACATAAAACACAGACATGTAACATATCCCCAGATAGCTCAGGTCCGAGCGCACATTATTAAGTGAATGGCGCTCAGACCACACGAATACAGTTTAATCGCCATGGAGCTAAAGTCTTTACAGTCAGTTTCATACGAATGGGCTCCATGGGATTCCTATCTGGGGTGTAACACATTCAAACAAATCTACCAAACCCCAGGCAGAAAAGCACGAATGAAGCTTTTCTGCAGGCAAAAATAAAGTCTTTTAAAAGGGGGGCCATAGTCCAAAGGCAGCAGGCGAGCAACCAGGCTTCTCCAATGCAATGTGGCGAGATTGGTCTCGTCACAATATATATCGGGTTTATACTCATCACATTAGGCTTGACAAAGGCTCGACTGAGGGCTGAAACATTGCTGTAAACTGTTTATAAAATGAAGACTGCCTGCTTTTGTTTGATGTACCAGTAGTTTTCAAAGATGTCACCACATCTGATAATACAGAACCAATTTGCAAGGTATTTATTATTTTTTGATGGTGTTTCACAAGTATGTGTTTACATTATTAAAATTGATTTTAGTGATTTAATTTTTTTCAGCTATATCTTAAATAGGAAGGCATTGAACGAATGAAAGAATGAGCAGAGTGGAAAAAAAATCATTTTTGGCAAATGTATAATAAGATCCAGTTCAAGTCTTTTTCCATAAAACACGTACTTTTAACCATTTAACTGCTGTAGGTTTTGGAAATAGTGTTCTGTGCAAGGCACGTCAAAACAGAATTGTTCTTAAAGCTGAACAAATGAATGCATCTCCATGATAGGAATTGTCTTTAAATAGAAAAAAAAAAAAAAAAAACACAATATGCAATGAATTTTAAAGTACATCACCCTCATCTGATTTTGTATTCAACCCTCAATATGTATAAACTGTCAAATTATTGCAAAATATTATGTAAATTCTCTTCTCTTTTTTTTTTCCTTTTTTTTTTTTTTACGGACACTGCAAAGCATTTTAATATCAACATGCCCCTAATTCATGTTTTCCATGCTAACATTTTAATATGAATACCAACATAGGCACAAAAATAAACAATTGCTTCCAGCCAGAGGTGTCTGGACGAAAAAAAAAAAACACACATTGAAATAAAACACTGTCTTTGCAGCTCATTGTGTCACTAATTAGAGTAGAAGGAGGCAGAAGCTTGCTGGTGTCAGTCCGTGTTTAGCATGCCCTAGAGCTTTAAGCTAGTCCTGTGGGTATCAAAGTGCACTAATTAAATGAGGGGTCCACAATACAGCGCTAAACATCAGAGTGACAGAAAGAGTCTAGTGTCCTCGGTGCCTTTGAGAATCCATGGCCCACGCTAATTACCCATTGTTGAATTGACTTCCCATTTCACAAGCAATGAATGGGTTTTTTTTTAACACCCCTTCCCCTTTTCCTATTTTACCATCTTTGCCTTGGCCGCCTAATTAATCTTATGGAAATCTCCCGAAGCCAGATTCCAGCAAGGTTGCCCTATGTTTATAATTTGATTTGTGATGATAAAAGTGAAGGCACTCGTGATGGAATAGTGTCATTTTTAAAACTCTTGAGAATCATAGAGGCTATCAATCTTACCCACGTGCACAGCAAACTGATATCCCAGAAAATTAACTTCAATTAATAACAGAACTCCCCAGACAATCAGGGATGTTGAGTCGCTTTAGAAGAAAACCTTCAAAGATATATTTGGCTTGTCTTTTATATGCAGACATCATTTTATATGAATCTCAATAAGAAAATGTTGCCCTTTTTATTCCATATGCACATATAATTACCAGTTAGCTAATAGAGCATCATTTATTTAGCCTATTGTTCTTAAAGGCACCCCATACAAACATCTCATTATGCATTAAAATAAAATAAACAGTTTTATAGTTTTATAACTTTTTAGAACAATTTATCAATAATAAAATGAACCTGGTATTATGAGGATGTTATTCAATATGTTTAAATAGTAATTTACCCTATTATTTTATAATTATAATACAAATCACACTGCAAACATCTGTATCCTATAAATGTTTTGTAAACCTGCACTAGACTGAAATTGGCAAACTGAGTTACATTCTATTACTGCAATGTTGTAATTTGCTTCATTCCATTTAGGGGCATTAGTCCTATATAAGCTCCACCTACCAGTGTGTTTCACTTAATAACGCAAGGCAAATTCTAAAAAATGTGCTGGCGTTTGCATGTACTTTATAAGCCCATTCATTTTTGATGTTTCTAGTTTCCCTAGGCTCTATTTCTATTTGTTTATGTGATGGACTTCCCGTACTCCAATTCAACTCGCTTTATACCCACTTTCAGGAACCCTGGAATGCTTCTTTCCCATTCGCCAGGGCTTGACTTGTGGCTTTTAGGAACTCTTTCACCAAACCAGGCTGCAGCTCTCTCCTTACAGGCAAGTATGTCCCTTCACTGTGGCTAGTTCCTGCCTTTATAAAGGCACTTTCGACTCTAAGCCCTAGCTCTTTTTCAATTGTTCCAGGCTACAGGGACTATGCAGCCAGACAACAGGCTCGAAGACTCTGTTACTGGGATCCCTGAACAAATCGAGCAGGACACACAGTTCCAAAAGGAACTAGCACACACTAGCATGACCAGCCCATATCTACATTACATTTATCTTAAGTTGACAACTCATAAATACAAATAATATTCATATGGGAAACACATAAGCACTCACAACACAATAAACACAATAAAATACTTATAAAGAAGCGAGGAAGATAATAACTAACCCAAAATATTTCCCCTTCCTGCAGAAACCATAATATGCAAATCTACCAGAATATTTAAATTAATAAGCCTTGATATTCAGGTAGTGCATATAACTGTTTTGAGATAATTGCAACAAACAGATTGCACTGTACTGGCTCAGCATAACAGGAGACCTCACAAACATTTAACAATAAACAATACATTATACACACACTGCGCCCACACAGGGCACAGGGTGACTTAAACATAGGAGTCCTCCAGAAACATAATTAAAGTGTCCATCTTAAACTCCTGGTGATCACAGTTTACCAGACCACATGCTCTGCAGGTAGAACATGTTAGTTGTATACTTTTTTAGTATCTTCTATTATACAGAACGCTGGTTCTAAGGAAGACACATATCTGCCACACAAAGTCACATATATCTGTCACATATAGCAGCTCTTATTGATGTTAGACTATGAATTCCAATGCATAAACAAACACTAGTTTTAGAACTAACTAGTGTTAGGACTTCAAACCTGTAGTCCTATAGTTATAGTGTAACTCTGCCTACTTGTATTAAGTAAAAAATAAAAAGTTTATTTTTCAGGTCTAAGTCTCCCTTGGCACAGCCCACTTCTCTCCTCCTGCAAAATTATGGAGGCAGAGAAATTATGGATGGTTTAATCCAATGGTTCTCATAGAGGAGCATTTGGGAATCGATCATTGTGTGTACATTCAAACCTCCCCATAGAACAGCATTGAATCAATGTTTTTCAAAGGTGGGCTTCAATTTTACTCGGTCAATGCAGTAGGCATGCCTCTAGTAACTGTCAATACAAAACTACAATGTTACCCAATGCAGGATTTAAAGGTGATTGCCTACTGAGAAAAAAAGGAATTCTCCAAGTCACCTATCTATCCAGCTAAGATAAAATGTTCTAAAATGACATATTTAGAATTTTCTGGTGTGTGATTTTTTTTAATGAAAGCAAGAGACTATATGCAAAGCAAATATCTCTATCACTAAATACGCTCAGTGATACCCATAAACTTCTGCAAGAGAAATACATCCTAACACTATTGTTTATCAAAATCCATTATAATGGAGAATGATGGTTTTAGCAAGGAAGGGGTGAAAAGGCATAGTTTTTTTTTTTGCATTAGATATTGGTAATATTAAATGAATGGATGATATTGGTTGCATTAAATGGCTAGCAGGGGAAGGAATAATAAAGGGACATTAACTTGTTGGGATGATTTAGGTGCTTCCTCATGGAGGCTATGGGCATTAAATTGATGACTAACAGGTGTGGAATTGTTTAACCTCTTAAGGACCAAACTTCTGGAAAACAAAGGGAATCATGACATGTCACACATGTCATGTGTCCTTAAGGGTTTAAATAAAGAGGCTACCTAGGGCAAAGCCTCATTGAGTTTTTCTTCGGGTTTGAGTCCAACGTAGTAATATGGGGCAAAACCATCCGGCTGTGTACAGGACCATTCAGACTGCAAAATTCAGACTTTGTTAACCCCTTAAGGACCGAGGACGGTTCAGGACCGTCATCGGCATTTTTGCGTTGCCGACCGATGACGGTCCTGAACCGTCCTAACGGTCTGGGGCT